AAATAATTATATTCATTAACTTCTTAATATAAAATTAAGTTAATTTTGGCAGTTATCATTATTATCATAATTATCTTTATCATAATTACCTATGATATCATTGTTATCAATTATATAATTATGATAATTATGATATAATAATAGTGGTAATAACAGTAATAATAACTATTAATGCAGTAACAGTAATGATGACGATAATGATGATAAATATAATATAAATAATTATAAACATGATAATAAACACTGTAATAATATTAATGATAATGATAATAATAATGATGATAAAAATGATAATAATAATAATTAAATAACAACATAATAATAATTGAAATAATACTTACAATTATAATAACAATGATAATAATAATAATAATTCTGTTAATAACAATAACTACAATAATAATAATAGCAATGATAATAATGATAATAATAATAATCATAATGACAATGATAATAATGATAATAATAATTATCATGATAATCATAACAACAACAACAATAATTATAATAACAATGATTATTATCTTTATTGTTATAATGTGCTCCATCTTCATATTTATTTTCATTAATTCCATTTCTTCTTTCTCTTCTCTCTCTCTATTTCACTTTCTTCTTTGTCTTCTTCCTTTCTCTTCATCTTTATCATCTTCTTCCTCCTCCTCTTCTCTCCCTCTATCTCTTTCTTCCTCCTCTTCTCTCTCTCTCTCTCTCCTCTTCCCTTCTTTTCCGCCTCTTCTTCTTCTTCTTCTCTTTCCTCATCCTCTCCTAATCCTCTTCTTCCTCCTATTCCTCCATCTTCCTTTTTTCTCTTTCTCCTCCTCCTCCTCTTCTTCACTTCCTTCTTCCCCTCTTGTGTGCCATTTCTTCTTCATTCATTGTTCTTCCTCTTTTTGTGCGTTCTCGTTTAGAGAGAGAGAGAGAGAGAGAGAGAGAGAGAGAAGAGAGAGAGAGAGAGAGAGAGAGAGAGAGAGAGAGAGAGAGAGAGAGAGAGAGAGAGGGGGAGGGGGAGGGAGGGAGGGAGAGAGAGGGAGGGAGAGAGAGAGAGAGGGGAAGGGAGAGGGAGGGAGAGAGAGAGAGGAAGAGAGAGAGAGAGAGAGAGAGAGAGAGAGAGAGAAGAGAGAGAGAGAGAGGAGAGAGAGGAGAGAGAGAGAGAGAGAGAGAGAGAGAGAGAGAGAGAGAGAGAGAGAGAGAGAGGAAGAGAGAGAGAGAGAGAGAGAGAGAGAGGAGAGAAGGAGAAGAGAGAGAGAGAGAGAGAAGGAGAGAGAGAGAGAGAGAGAGAGGGAGAGAGAAGGGAGAGAGAGAGAGAGAGAGGAGAAGAGAAAGAGAGAGAGAGAGAGAGAGAGGAGAGAGAGAGAAGAGAGAGAGAGAGAGAGAGAGAGGAGAGAGAAGAGAGGAGAGAGAGAGAGGAGATAGAGAGGAGAGGAGAGAGGATAGAGAGAGAGAGGAGAGAGAGCGAGAGAGAAGGATGAGGAGGGGGAGGGAGAGACAGATAGATAGTTAGATAGAAAGATATATAGATAGATAAAAGAGTAGAGAGAGAGAGAGAGACAAAAAAAAAAAAAAAATGAAAAAGATTAGATGATTCTCCTCTTCTTCCTCTTCTCTTTCTCTCTCCTCCTCTCTTTTCTTTCCCTCTCTCCTCTTCTCTTCCTTTTACTTCCTTCTTTTCCTCCTCTTCCTCCGCCTCTCTCTTCTTCTTCGTCTCCTCTTCGTCTTGTTTATTCTTCCTCCTTCTCCTTTCTCTTCATTCTTCTCTTCTTTCATAATATAAATAAAAATCTATTTGAATAATTAAATGAAAAATGAGGGAAAAAAGTTAAATTTCCACAATGCCAACAAACAAACAGACAAACAAACACACAAGGAATTGTAAAAAAAGATCAGATTTAATTCTTTTACATAAATTATCGTTAAAAACACCAATAAATAAGACATTTAAACCTCCAAAATGCAAACAAACAAACAAACAAACAACCTCTAAAAATACTAATAGAAAAATAAACTCTTAAATACACAATAAACACGAAAAAAACAAAATTTTCAACTTTTAATATTTTTTATACAAGTTACTCCTCGAAAAATTAATCAACATCAACGAACAGAAAACGGGGGGTTTTCAAGCATATCTGCAGTGTTACCAAGTCTACTGTAGAGAAAATTAAACTCTTAAATACACAATAAATACGGAAAAAACACACACCAAATTCTCAACTTTTAATTTAAACAAGTTACTGTTCAAAAAACAACAACACCAACGAATAGAAAACGGGGGGGTTTCCAAGCATGTCTGCAGTGTTGCCAAGTCTACCGGACCGCAGGCAGTGGTGCCAAAAAAAGAGAAAAACCTTACCTGGCTTACCTTAAATACAGATCTGCAGAGGAAGTTTTCTTTGACTGGCAACAATCTGTCATTCAGGAAAAAAAAAATAGAGAAAAAAGCATGAATTTATTAGAATCTATTATTTATTCTATTCATTCTTTATTTTTTGTCCCTATTTCTTCTTCTCTTTCTCTCTATCTCTCTTTTTCCCTTCCATTTTTCTCACTATTTCTATTCCTCCTATTTATCTTCTCTCTCCTTCCCCTCCTCCTCCTCTTCCTTCTTTTATTCCCTCTCTTTCTCCTTCCTTTTCCTTCTCTTTTTCTCTTTTCTTTCTCTTCTCCCCTTTCTATTCTTCCTCTTTCTTCTCTTCTTCTTCCTCCTCCTCTTAATTATTAGAGAATTAATTATAAAAAGTAATAAGGGAAATGGAAAGAAAAAAAGTATAAAACGTCTTATATATCTAATATATATATATCTATATATATATATATATATAAATATATATATATATATATATATATATAAACAAGGTATATATAGCTAATAATGCTTTTTTTTTGTTCTTTTTTTTAATTGATAAACAGTTTGATTAAAATGGTACAGAGACAGAAAGAAATTAATAATCAAATAACATAATAGATTATATGAGCATACATGCACACACACACACACATATATATGTATATATTACAAATGTGTTTGTTAATGTTGTGTGTGTGTTATGTATAGTATTATATATAGTATTATAATACGTATATATTATAATTATATAATATATAATATATATATATCTATCTATATCTATATTTCCTCCTCTCCCTATCTCTTTCTCTCTCTCTCTCCTTTATATACTAAATAGATCTTACTTCCCCCTCTCCCTCTCTCTTCTCTCTCTCTCTCTTCCCTCACTCTCCCTCCATCTTCCCTCTCGTCCCCCCTCCCCATCTCACTCCTCCATACCTACATCTCCCTCTCCTATCTCTCTTCCTCCTCTCCCTATCCTCCTCTCTCTCTCCTCTCCTCTCCTCCTCCCTCTCTCCTCTCCCTCCCTTCGCTCTCCTCTCCCTCCTCTATCTCTCTCCCCCTCCCTCCTATCTCCACGCCTCACTCTCTCTCTAACTCTCTCCCCTCTCCCCTCCTCCTTACCCCCCCCACACCCCCCCACCCCGTTCACAAAAAAAAAATCCAAATATAAAAACGAAAAAAAAAGAAGAAAAGAAACTTGCCAGAAAGGCATCACTTACTTTGCCATTTCGGAGAGCTGGAGTTTCCCGTCTTTGTTCTGGTCAAAAACTTGCAGCTGAGGGAAGGATGAAAACAATTATTATATTCATGATCGCTCTCTTTTTTATAATGATTTGTTTCTATCATATATCATCTATTATCTATCTATATATATCATCTATTATCTATTATCTATTATCTATCTATTAATCTACATCTATATATTAGTCAATCTATCAAATATTCAGCTCGGGAAATGATGAAAATTATTATATTCAGGATCACTATTATTATATCTATCTATCTATCTTCAGTATATAATTTATCTATCAATCAATCTACGAAACTCACGAGTACAAGTCTATCTATCTCTATATAATTGACTTCATTATCTATTAATTTATTTAAAGATTGATTTACTATATATATTTATCTATCATTAGATTCACTGCCTATCTATCTATCTGTTTGTATATAAGTTTATTAATTCCACTTTGTGTATAAAGATTACTATTAATCTATCTATCTATCTATCTATCTATCTATCTATATTATGAATTATTTTTCATTTATCTAAATATTTTAATTTTCATAAATAGAAGATGCCTATTACTTAAAAAAAAAATGCATCAAAAACCATAAACATACAAAAAAAAAAGAAAAAGAAAAGCGTCCTATCTATACATAAATTTTTTTTTACCAGTTTAAAGAAAAACGAAAATTAAAGAGAATGTTACCATTAAAGGTAAGAATTTTTAAAGAATAATAATAAAAAAATACTTCAGTAGTTATTATGTTTTATACGAAAATACATGAATATACAATATTTCCGATATACGAAATAATGATATTCAAGCATATATATATATATATATATATATATATATATATATATATATATATATATATATATATATATATATATGTATATATATATATATAATTATCAACAAAGGCAGACTTAGCGTTTAAAAAAAAAAAAAACATAAACAAACAGTATTTATCAGACGAAATCAAATCTAAAACATTACCAGAAAAAGCAGAAAGTAATAAAGAAATTCATAAAAATCATTAAATTATTATTTTTTTTATTTGGCAATGGCAAAAAAAAAAAAGAAAAAAAAATACTTACCATGGTGTCTGTGTACTCGATAAGCTTATCTTCTGAGACATCTTGGTCTTTCTTCGCTTCTTTGAGAAGATCTCGAAGGAAATTCTGTGTTTGATGCAAGAAAAAAAAGAGGGAGGAAACGATTATTTTAGTTGAGTTAGTCCTTTGAAAAAAATTTCGTTTTCTCTTTATTTCATAGAAAACGAGGGAAGGATTGTTATATAAAGGTTAGCCTTAGGAAAAAAATTGTTTTCTTTTATTTGATAGAAAACGGGATTTTAGTGATTTCTATAATAATATTATCTTAAATTTATTTCTTGATATATACTAATTTAAATGAATATTATTTTTCGTCATTAATAATAATAGTATCTCTTGTTATTGCCATTAATTGCAATTATTGTTACAATCTTCATTATCTTTTAGGTATTATCATAATTACTATATTCATTAATGGGTAAAAATAATCATATTTGTCTTATTCTTATCATTATCGTCCTTATTATCCATGTTATCAGATTTCTCAATTATCTGTTTATCATGATGTACCAATAATTCGTTTTACTGATTTTATTTATAATTTTCTCTTAAATTTATCCTCTAAAATACATTTCTTTCTTAATGGATGAAAAAATCTATCATTAGTATTGTTTTAGTTCTTAATTATCCTTAATTAAACATAATTATCATTATTTTGTTATTACTGTTGTTATTACTTTTGTTACTATTATTTTTTAAAGTCATTCTTAGTATCATTATCATTACTATTACTATTATTACTATGAATATTATTATTTTGTTAGTTTTATCATTACTACCATTATTACTATTAGTATTATTACTACGAGTATTACTATCTTATGAATATTATTATTACTAATATTGCAATTCTTGTATTTTTTCAACTTTCTCTTATCATGAGAAATATTTCAAGATAAACATTTATATAATTTTTATGATTTTTTAAAAAGAAGAATCTTATCAAAAACATTATGATCATTAATGTTATTTTTATTGTTTTTATGCATGCTTCTTTTATTATTATTTTCATTATCACTTTTACTATTATTATCATCGTCACTATAATCATCATTAATATCAATGATAATAAATCTTATTACAATTATCATTATTATCCTTATTATTTTACTGTTTTTTTTCATGTTATTATCAAAATCATTTTAATTATCTTAATCATTCCTCCTTTTGATTTCATTATAGGTGTTACTTTTATTATCATTATTATTATCATTATTATGTTATCATTATTATCATTAAGATCATTAGTATTACTATAATTATCATCATTTTGTTATCCTCATTATCATTGTAATATTTACTATTTCATCATCATTATCTATATCATTATAATCATCATAATCATCATTATCATCATAATGATATCACTATTACCACTAAAATCATTAGTATTACTATAATTGTTATCACTGTTTTTATCCTCATTATCATTTTAATAATCACTAACTTATCATTATCATCATCTATATTAATATTATCATTATTATTGTCAATATCCATATTAATATTATCATCATTATCTGCATAATTAATATTATCATCAAAATCATCATTATCCGTATAATTAATATTATCAGCATTATCCATAGTAATATCACCATCATTTTCTATAGCATAATCAACAACATTAATTAAGGGAAAATATCTGCATTTCAGATCAATGAATTGGGAAAAACAATGCAAGTCATGCATACAAAGATTTTTTTTGAGAGAGAAAAAAGCATTATATCAAATATGGTAGATTTTATAACAAAATAAATGGAATATTATGTTTGTATATGGAGAGGAGTAAGAAAACATAACAATGTATATATATATAATATACATATAAACATATATATACATATTACATATATATATATATATATATATATATATATATATATATATATATATATATATATATATATATATATATATATATATATATATATAATACACACATATATATGAAATGAATTTCAAAATAAATGAAAAAATTAAGGAGTATAATATTTTAGAAATACATGCAAGATTTCCTTAAAAAAAACGGGAGATATTTAAAGAAAATTTAGAATCAAAGAAAATGGGTAGAGGATTTATTGATGCAGAAACTGTCCTTTTTTTTCTTTTCTTTTTCTTTCTGCAAAGTTGCATACGCATTCCATATTGGCATTTCATTGATAAAAAGAAGATTGAAGAATGAAAAGATCTAAATGTATTTCTTTCTGATATAAAATAGCGTTATTTTCATGCCCTAAATAGCAATTTTAGAGAAAATTAATCATATTAAAAGAAATATTCATTCCAAGCTTATTTTCATTAATTTTCCTTTTTTCGTTTTTTTTCTATTTTTTTCTGTTTTCTTCCATTTTCTTCTTCTTCCTTTCATTTATTTTTCTTCTTCTTTGTCTCTGCTTTCTCTTTCTTCTCCCTCTCTTCCTCTTCTTTCTTTCTTTTTTCTTCTCCTTCTCCTCCTATTCCTCTTACTTTTTCTTTCTCCTTCCTCTTCCTCTTTCTTATTTTATTTCTTCTCTTCTTCCTTTTCTCTCTCCTTCTTCCTCTTCCTCTTTTTTTTCTTTTATTCTCTATCTTCGTCTTCTTGTCTTTCTCCTCCTTCTTCTCCTTTTTCTCTTTCTTTTCCCTCTCCTTCTTCTTGTTCTTCTTCTCCTTCTTCCTCTTCCTTCTTCTCCTCTTTCTCTTTCTTCACTCCTTCCTCTTTCTTTTCCTTCCTCTTCCTCTTCTTCATTTTCTACTTCTCCTTCCTTTTACTCTTTTTTCTTATCTTTTCTTCCTCTTTCTCCCTCTTTATTTATTTTCCTTA